TCTTGCTGCCACTAGCCCCAGTTTGAGGGTGTTATCAGGGAGGCCACCCATAGAACCCCGTGCTTCCTAAAAGAAAGAGGGGCCAGCTGCAGCTTCAGAAGAGGCACATGCCCCCTCCTTATGTTTGCAAGATCAGCTCCCTGACTTCAGAGCAGTCTCAGCCCCACCACACCTGACAGCCATGACTAAAGCCATGCTCACAGCTTTATGGGTAACCTCTTCCTGCAGCTGAAGCGCCCTGGCCACTTCCCCTTGCAATATTATATGTTGTAGCACAAGTCCACTCTACAAACTGCCCATGCCCTCAACCAAGCACAAACAGCATGCAGAACTCCCTGATTTGTGGAAGGCAAGAATTGGACCTTCACACAAGGTCATCTCCTGCTTTTGTACAGGGCTTGTTTTCTGGCTTTCTCACCAGGTGATGTCTGGTCTACCTTTCTGCAGCATTCAGCAGCCTGCAGACAGCAGACCAGCTTTCTTGGTGGACATTCTTCTCAAGTGCACACAGTAAAGAAACACCTGAGTTGTGCTGAATGCTACCCTGGAGCTACTGTCTATCATTTTATCTCAGTCCAGTCATACTTTATTTGGAACTGAAACCAGGGTTTGATTAATGGTCACGTGAGCCAGGTTTCAGAACACCGCCTTGACAACATCCTCATCTCACCTTTGTGCTGTTGTTGCTCACAGAAAGAAAGTTCTCCCTACAGTCTTTGGCCCTGCAATTTGACAATATTACCTGCTGCAGCACCAGCACTAAAGCTGCTTTAGGGATGGTCACAGATGATGCTGATGTGCTTCCTTCCTGCATACACTATTCCAACAAACCTTCTTACCAGTTCATCCAAATCAAATACGCATAAAGAAAAGAAATAATTACACATATTTTCTTTCAAGTGTTCCTTCAGTCTTGTTGAGAAATCTTCTAAAGCTCATTTCTCCACAGGTCTTTGTATTCAAAAATCAGGTGGCAACTTCAGAACCTATCTTTGTTTTCTGGTGGCCCAACATAATTTTCTCCCCTGTCAGATGTTGTATGCCCAGTATGATGACCTCACTGATATCAAGAATGGAGCACTGAGACCCTCCTTGCTCTAAGACAGTTGCTGTTATAGGGACTGGTCCAGCAGAGTCTTCAGAAGAGGCAGTTCTTCCATTCTTAGGACTCTGCTTAACAAAACTTATCATTAAAAGATTTAATTTCATCCCTGTGTTATCTTATTCCAGTGATCTAGGAGTACCAGACTGAGCACAAAGAGCCCATTCTAAAGCTACTCTGCCATCTCTGGCTCCTCGCAGAAGCAGACCAATCCTTGTCTGTATGTGCCTCAGGATTTTGGTCAATGGTGATCCAGCTGCTGTGAGGGATGGCAACAGGTCTCTGCAGCTGCTTTACCTATTTTGTATTTTGGATAACACCCCCTTCGCCATAATCCTAAACAATTTCTCACCTACAGAACTTCACGCCTTTCAACATACATGGCCATAGTTATTTAGCCACCCAACCTGCCACAGCACAGAGAGTGCCAGGAACATGAGGAAATTCTTTGAATTTCGAACATATATGTTTACTGTGTAGGAATCTGCATCTGGAGGGAGGACCTGTGAGAATGCAACATCAATGAAATGTTTGCTGATAGCATATAAAAAGTAACCAGAACAACAGACAAAAGCAACATTTTGCTGGAAGTGGACATGGGAAACAAGGACTGTATTTAGGAGCATAGATGGAGCCCTACTGAACTGGTTTTGGATTTTCCACCTGCTCATGGCTGGAGAAGGGGGAAGCAGGCAGAGCAGTGCTCACAGCCAGCGCCAGTGATGCCATCTGGGGCATGGTTGCCCATCCCAGGCAGCAGGGCTGGGGCTGCAGCCTCTCCAAGGGCTGGAGCGGCGCTGGCACAGAGAAGCTCCATCACTTGTACCTCAGGAGCAAATTCTCCTCTTATCTTGACAGCACAGTTGATTTTTTCCTGGGTCCTCCAGTGGGACGCATTAAGACCCAAAGCGCCGCTCTTAGGCTCTTTCTGCACAGTATCCCTTGGAAATGTGCCTTGCTGCCCCTTCTTGGCATGCCAGCTGGGCCTACCAGCTGTCTGGAGCTGGCACACGAGTGTGGGCCAATAGAGGGGTGTTGGAGAGAACAGCAAGGAGTTTTTCACAGCTCCAGCCTGGCAGGTGCCTGAAGTCCTGCTGTGCCCCGAGCTCCCGTCCCACTGTGGGATGCAGGGAAGCCACAGTGCTCCCATCAGCCGGTGCTGCATCCTCAAGGGAGCCGGCTGCAGGCTGCGGTATGCGGCCAGCAACTATTGACTTCTTTTTCCGTGCATGGAAGGGTAAGTAACCTTAATTAAAAACATGAAGCCCACAGTTTGTATCACATTCACGATGTTAAACAAGCTCTGGAAATAGAAACACTGTTTTCATTTAAGCTTTCCAACTGTGATCTATGTAATAAAATATGGAGGGGGAGGGCGTGTGTGAGATTTACATGTGATGATTTGGGAGATCTCACTGCTTTGGAGGCTTGTGAGGCGCCGCAGTGCCAGCTGCTCCTGCCACTGCCTCACCACGTTTGGTAATGCCTGCACCACACACACTTTTGTTTCGTTCCAGAACTGCTTTCCAAATGGTGATTTCTGCCCTCAGCTCTTGCTGCTGTCACTTATTCTGGGTGTGGGTGTGGGATGTGCCAGGCCCACAGCGACCTGCTGCCCTGGCTGCCCGTGCCCTGCCCAGCTCTGGACAGGCAGGCAGGTGAGCACATTTCCACCACTCCTGGGACCATGCATGTCCTTCAGGACCGCCACATACCCTGCAAGTGCAAGGATCCTCCAAGCCCATGCCCAAGCAGCACCAACATCATTGGACACAGGGAAGGAATATTCTTGCCTTCCCAGATCCTCATGAGACACCACACAGGGAATGAGCATGCATTCCACCACAGTGAACAGGCAGAGGAAGGGTTCTTACAAGGGCACTTGCTCAGACCCCTGCCAGTGCATGGATTGCCCCTTCTCCCGAGCCTGCTTCAGCCTGCAGGGCCCACAGAAACATGCCATGCCCCCTCTGCACCTCCCTTCAGGCTCTGGGGACCAGAACCTGCACCTGACCTAGCAGAGAGGATCACCCCTGCTGTGCTATAGGGGTTTTGGAGAGGGGAGTGGGATGACAACAGAGCAAACAGTTGTCTGAGACTGCGAACAACTGAGATCGCCTTCCCATGGGAGCTTGATTTTGGTCAAACCTGTCACTTTCCAAGACTCCTTTTGCTGTGACATAATTTTAACAATGCTTCCCATGCCATAAACAGTTCATCTGGGCATAGCAATGATCAGAGCTGCATGTTTTGCATAAAGCTCCTAATCAGCACGTTAGCTCAGTCTAACAAGAGGCATTTGTCCCACACTGCTCCCCCTATGCCTGCTTCTCCTCCAATGGTTCCTGAATGCTCTGGCCAAGTTGTCCTGAGGGACAGCCTTAGCAGGGCTTTGCCCAAAAGTCTGGGGAAGTGCAGGATGCACAGCCTGCACAGGTGCACTCGCATGGTTATTTACATTTTTAGACCTTTTGTTTTCTCAGCAGGGGACTGGCAGCAAGTTGTTTGTGTCTTTTCCTGCAACTCTGGGGACCATAATTTTTCTCCCTGGACATTGGGATGTCTCCAACGCACTGCCTTTCGCCAGCCTCTTCCCTGCTTCCCATCAGCGAACGGAGAAAATACAATCGGGTCGGTGAATCCCGAGGCTAAGCTGCCCCTCTTCCAGGAAACCTTTCCCCAGTGCCTGTGTGACGTCACCGAGAGCGGCCGTGACGTCACGCACCCGTGACGGTGGGGTGCGGGGACGGGGCTGAGCCCCGGGGGCGGGGGTCCTCGGACCGCAGCATATTGTCCCCTCCGTCCCCACCGCTCCAGCGCCGAGCCAGCGGAGAACCGCGTTCCCTCCGCGGGGGCCTCTGCAGCCCAGGAAAACGGGGGGGAGCGAGGCCCGGCTGATGGCAGAGAGCGGGGGGATACAAGTGGTAGCGGTATGAGACTCAGGTACTTTGGGGGCACGCTTGCGGGGACGAGGACGGGGACAGAGGGGTGCCCTGGAGAGCGCGGAGCCGCGGCCGGTGCCCGTACGAGGGATCCGCGCCGCGCACGTCCCGCCGGGCCCGCAGGCGCAGACGGCTACTCCCGTTCACCCGCGGCGGTCAAACAACGTCTGAATTACATCCTTGTAAATATTGACTGTGGCCATCTTCTTCGTTTCTGCGCACAGAAAACCAAAACGTTAATGCCGGCGGGGCCGGGCTGTTGCTCCGCAGGGCTGCGGGGGTGCAGGGGGTGTGGAGCGGCGGGGCCGGGGCAGCGGGCTGGGGATGCCCGTAGACATCTCCGGTAACTGAGCATCGTGTTTCTGCGGCAGCGCGCCGGCCGCGCCGAGGATGCTAAAGGCAGCGGGCTGTCTCCCGGCTTGGACTGAAGGCTAATTTAGAGCCCTTGGGCTTGTAGGGGGGACACATGACTCACAAGAGAAGAGATGGTTCCTGGCATGGCATCATTAAACACCGGTGTTAATGAATGGCACGGGGCTGTGGGTACGCCTCGCGCCCCCGGTCAGCGTGGCGCGACACCAGCCGGTGTCCTCAGCCGCCTTCCCCGGGAGGCTCCCCCGTACAGACGGTGAACTGGCCAGCCGTGCACTGCCGTACCCTCGGATGCCCCTGGCCGGACTCCTACCGCCCCTCCAAGCAGCGCCCCTCGACGCCGCTCTGCCCGTGCCCTGGCTGGGGCTGCCGGGGTCCCCTGGCCAGCGGTGACTCCCCCCGGGGATGGGGAGCGGCAGTCCCGACAGTCTGAGTGGCTGCGCGGCGGCTGTGCCTCCGGGCGCCGGCCCTGCGCATTTGGTGGTCGTTAAACACAATTTGTTTCCCTCCCCGTTTGGGGAGGGGGAAGGGGAAAATCATTCCGGGGGAGGGGAAGGGAGGAAAAGGGAAGGGAAAAGGGGGGGCAAAAAAAGGAGTGAGAGAGAGCAAGCGAGACAGAAACACCAAAGCCGACAGAAAACCCGCGCGACGAACTGTTGCGACACAGAGCGAAGAGCGCGGCGAAGGCTGGCGGCGAGGTGCGAGTGGGAGCGGGCCGGGCCGTGGGAGCGGGCCGGGCCGAGGGAGCGGACCGGAGTCGGGTGGGGGGGCCGTGAGAGCGGGCCGGGCCGTGGGAGGGGCGGGCTGCCTCCCCCCCGTGGGTGGGCAGGCGGCGCCCGGTGCCTCCGCGCTGCCCCCCCGCCGGTCGCGCCGGGCGGGTCTCGGCGGTTCGGCGCGGCTGCCCGGTGACCGCTGCCGCCTCCCCGCAGCGCACAGTGAGCTCCCGCACCTCGGAGCCGGCGGCCAGCACGACGGCGGCCCCCAGCCCCCCACCATGAACACCATCGTCTTCAGCAAGCTCAGCGGCCAGGTGCTTTTCGAGGAGGACGCCAAGGAGCGGGAGCGGAGCGGCCGGTCCTACGTGGGGGTGGTGGAGGGCCCGCACCACGCCGAGGTGCTGCTCCCCGACAGCCCGTCCATCAAGGAGAGCCTCAGCCTGCGCAACCGGCGGACGGGGTATGCCGTGCGCTCGTCTCCGCGCCGCGCACCGGCTTCGGGGGCGGCCCTGCCTGCGCTGCCGGCGCTCCCGGCCGCCTCGTCGCCGATTTGGGGTTGTGAGATGGGTTTCTAACTGGGTCTTTGCCCGCGGCCCCGGGTTCGTATTTTCTGGGATTCTCATTCCACAGCTACGGTGGGAAATTCCGGCAATAGGTGATGCAGGGGCGTCCGATTGGGCTGGAATGTACCGGACAGAGCGCCCCTGTCCTGCTGTGCTTGACCTCCCTCTCTGCCTCCGAACAGAAACAAACCGGGAACACCGGGGCTCCACCGGCTTGTTCGGGCGCTTCATCTAAGTAAAGGCTCCAAAACGGAGGCGCCAGGCGGGACGTGTGAGACCGGGGGGACGGGGCGGCGGCGCGGCCGATCCCCGCCGGCAGCGCCGTGGCAGCGGGGCTGAGGCGGGTGGGCACCGCGGCACTTGTTCCAGCGTCCCCGCGGGTTCCCGGGAAGGAGCTGTGTTGTCAGTGCGTTCCCAGGGATAGGATTTAGAACGGACTAGCGCGATGCCAGTCGGGGGCTGAATAACGTGATATTAGGATCGGGTTTGCTGAAACGGCAGCTGACGCTAAGCCGCCCGAAGCCGGTCTTTTTTTTTTTTTTCTTTTTTTTTGGAGGGGGGGTGTTTTGGTTTGCTGTTTTTTTGAGAGTCAGGTTTTTTTTTTTTTTTGATGCTGGAACAGGTGAAATAGAAGGTGATGAGAGGACGAGCGAGCTCTGGCGTGCTGACAGCCGTAGCTCGGAGGGTTGAACTGGCGTGCGCTGACTAGACATTTCGGGTCAGCGTTACAAAGTAAAGATCGAGGAGCACAGTCAGGCGGCTGCGAAACCGAGGAGTCCGAGGGAGCTGCTTGTACTGACCAATTTCCACTTTAGCGATTGTATCCGCTCGCACTTTTACGGGCTGGCCGAGAGGCCGCAGGTGTGTGTCCCCGGAATGTCGCGGCGGAGCGGGGCTGCCGCGGGAGCCCCGCGGAGGAAGCGGCGCGGCCCGGCCCAGCCCGGCCGCGTGGCGCCCCCTGCCGCCGGCGCCCAGCACCGACCGGAGCCTCCCCGCCCCGAGCAGCGCTGCCGCCGGCCCCAGCCCGCCTCCGGGCATTCCTTGGGATTCCTCCGATTCTGGTCACTCACTTTTTATTGTAGGCCGTTATTTACAAAGCATTTACAAAGGGACATTTTTTTTTTTTTTAAATCGGAACCCGGGTTTCGTTCCCCGGCATACGCTGTTACTCGGCAGGCGCGGGGCTTTGCGGGCTGCCTCGCGTCGCTGCCGGCGGCTTTGGGAGCGGCATGCTCGCTCCTCCGAGAGCATCGCTCGCCGCCGGCTCCGAGGGGGGAAATTATCCAAGAGCTGCTTGGTGCCGCGGGTATCTCTTGAGTATCAGCGAGAAATAAACCCGGGCGGGGGAATCAGGCTGGGCTGGCCCCGGGGAAACGCGCACCGCAGCTGCGGGAAGCCGGCCGACCGTGCGAGGTGAGGCCTGGCCGCGCTGGAAAGCCCCTCTGTCGGCAGACCGGCCACACTCCGGTCAGGTGCCGAGCACTGAAACCATCGGGACACTCGCACCGGCGGAGCCCTGGCCCCGCTGAAATCCCCGTGGGTTCGCCGCCCGGGCCCGCAGCATTACCGCGGCCATTCACTGTTCGCGAGCTCCTCTCGCCCAGATCCTCCACGGGGAGTTCGGGGAGCTGGTGGCATCACCTTCCCTTGGGCAGTCCTCCGGGCCGAGGGTCGCGGCTGTGGAAAGTGCCCGAACACCCCTCGAGAACCGGGCTCGGCTTCTCCGGGCAGGGCGCAGCCCGGGGCTGGCATCCCCGAGCTGGGTCCCCCCTCGGACGGGGCGCATCTGCCGCACCCGCGCTGGGCAGCCCGGGGCCGGGGGGCAGCGGGCAGGGCCGGGGGCCGGGGGCAGCGGGCAGGGCCCGGGGCCGGGGGGCAGCGGCAGGGCCCGGGGCCGGGGGGCAGCGGGCAGGGCCCGGGGCCGGGGGGCAGCGGGAGCGGGCAGGTGTCCCGCCGCTCCGGTCCTCAGCGCCCCTTCTCCGCGGCAGGGCGCGGCAGAGCGGCGGGAAGGTGCGGCACAAGCGGCAGGCGCTGCAGGACATGGCGCGGCCGCTCAAGCAATGGCTCTACAAGCACCGCGACAACCCATACCCCACCAAGACGGAGAAGATTCTGCTGGCCCTCGGCTCCCAGATGACCCTGGTGCAGGTAAGGAAGGGAACCCCTTATCCCCACGTCTGACAGCTGCTCCGAGGCCGTTCATGGACGGGAGGGATGGGGACAGCACCTGCCAAAGCTCCTCTGCGAGCTGGGCAAAGGACAGTGCTGGGTATTGGGGAGCTTTGGTGCAGCCAGCAAGACCAGGAGTCCTGTGCGCATCCTTCTTCCACTCTCCTCTGGGCTCCCCCACCCCAGCAGGACTGTCTCTCACAAGCAAGAATTACCACATTTTAGCTGGAGAAGTGCTAAAGACAATCGGCAAAAATGTGTGCATGCACTCCTAGGACTAGATGCCCTTATCCTTTCATCTCATTCATAAATACAATGAAAATATTTTTGCTTAGTCTTTAAAAATTCTTACGGAAAAAAAATCAGCCATGGGAGAATTCAGCACAGAATAGAAATTGTTGGGGAAATTTCAGGGAGCTACTCTTCCCTTTTGAAAAAGGGGTAGGATGAAAACTGTTCTATTGTTCTGATAATAATTGTCATCACCTGTTGCACAGACATTAGTGTTACCATACACTGTTCTGTGGCTCAGCACACACAGTCTTGCAAGAATTATCATTGTAATATAGTTAGACATGGGGAATAATTGTTTTGTTCTCAGGTAATTCTCCCCTGAAGTGACTGGCAGTTTTCTTGCTGTAAGAGGCATAAATTTTGCTGCAAATGTCTATAAATCTCACTTCTTTGTTCTCTTTGCCATCTGGTACTCTACTGAAATACGTGGTTAAATGCTATCAGTTGCAGAGTGATGCTATCTCAGGTCTGGATGCTGCAAAGATTTATGCATTGTGAATAATCTAATTTCCTTACTGCAAGCTACTGCTAGGTGCGTAAAATGAAACCCATGTGTTTGCAGGATTGGGTCCTCATCACTCTGCCTAACACATTATGTGTCACCTTGCAAAGGACACAAAGAGATCAAAGTAACCTAAAGTATTAGAAAAAAACAGGTGGTAATTCAGCTTTATTATTTTGAGTGCCCCTTCAAAAAAACCTGTGCTATGAACTTCAGTTCTAGTAATGGCAAAATGGGAAATTTTTACACTTCAGTACCTCACTATGAAACTATTGCACTAGGAAAAACACTATAGCTTTGACAAAAATAATATTAATGTCTCAGAAAATGCCAGTTATAACTGGAAGATATAGTTAAGACAACTTCTCTTGCTTTTAAAAAATATACATGAAAGGTTTAAACTATGATTACATAAACATTATCCCCTCAATGGCACAATTCAATAGGAGTATTTTATTGGACTTTAGAATACCCCTGTATTTTTACATGAGATTTAAAACATATATCCAGAATATGTGCTGGGACACTTTCACATTAATGACGTCTTGAGGAGTTCTGCTGTTCTATTAAAAATGCCTCAGAATGAACAGAGAAGGGAGAAGAACTGGTGGGTTTTGCAGGATTTCCCTCGTGGCAGCTTTGATAAATCCTGATGGGGGTAAGAAGTGTTAGCCTTTATAAAAGCATCAAGTGAGCCATGGCCACTTCTCCACAGAGTTTTATGATCTACATAAACTGTAGAATAAAATTAGAAAGAATCAGGGAGGGCTGCATTTAGCTCTGTTCGACCCCTGTGACTCTAGTGGGTTTACGCTGAAGCTGAATTTGACCGATTTTGTTTCTATGAACGGTAATATTAGAAAGAACTGTGCAAACAGGCATATCTATCTTCATTTACGGAAGCACATCAAAGAGAAATCCCAGGTGTTTTTTTCATCTTTTTTGTGCAATGCTCTTTTAATCCAGGAATTTGATAGCATCTGTATGAGATGTAAATACATATGTCTGGCACCAGCAGTAATTCCTGAGCCACAAAGAGCTAAACAGCACACACCCTACACCTACTTTTTGGATTCTCAAAAAGAACAAGATTGTAATTCAGTTCCAAATTTTTGTTCTCGTAAGAGTGAGAGAGAGCATGCCAGGGTGTGGTCTCAGTCACACTGGGTGCATCTGAAATAGCTTTCCTGAAGGCTGTACTCGCTCAGACAAGTGGTATAACCAAGATCAGGTTTGGGACTGGGCTGTGGTGTCTGTTGGAAAGCTTTGCTTCTGTCCCAAGAGAAGCATTTTGCAAAAGCATCAATCAGGGTTGCCTATAAATTGTTTTTCTGATCTAGTAATATTGTTGGACATCGCTGGAAAACCAGGAATCAGCGTATGATGTTTCCTCTGGGTTAAATGCCTTCACATTTGCTGACTTGTCTCATATTTCCTATGCTTTTTACATTTCTCAGTGTTGTCCCATGGTGTTTGCTCCCACAGCTTTCCCCTCCTGTGGAGGCTGTTGTCTGCTGACAGCTGCTACCTCTTCCCAGCATCCCTCATGTGCTGGCACCTTGTTGTCACAAGCCATAGGAAAGGCAAAAGATACTGTTAAATATCCCTTTCAGTTTCTGAATTTCTGACAAAATCCCATTTAGGGAATAAATGGTTGGGATGTCTTTTTGTTTTTCACCTGACTGGTGACTTGGAAAAGGTCTTCAGCAGCTGCCTGTAAGATGAGGGTGGTCACAGTAATATTGATCATACAGATGTAACTCTCCTCCCTGTGCTTTTCCTTCCTTTAATGAATCTTATTCCAGTATGTGCTGTCTATCAGGACCATAGCATGGATAAAACCAATTCTTCTGTCAAACAAAGAGGTGAACATCCAGCCCTGGTTTTATACTTTTGTTATTAGGACAAACTAATGACATGCTAATGACTAACAACTTTTGTATCTGCATGTGAAATCTTCCACAAATTTATTTTCATTAGTTTTTCTATCACTCAGTTGGCTGATTTTAAATTAATTTGTTCAACTTTACTAATACTTTGGCCTACCCCACTGTTCTTGGGTGCAGTAGGACAGTGAGGGGACTATTCCAGATGCATGTCTGACTGCAGTGCTGAATCAAAATCACTCTTTCAAGGAGGTAGGATTTTGCAGGAATCATAAATCATCTTGTTTCTTAAGTAGTAGTAGCAAAACCTGGGGCAAATTCTGGGCTGACTTACTCCTGTGCAGGCCAACAAGGTCTTTGGGAGTCCTCAAGGTAAATGTTATTGCAGATTTCAGTCCAAGAGTCCAAAGTTTTCTACTTCCACAACTGCCAAAGCAGGAAACCAAAAAAGCAATATAGTTTGAAAAGGCATTTTATATTTTACTCCAATTAGATTCCAATTCAGAATCCAATAACTTGTCCTATTAATATGCTACATTTTCATTTGTATTATTACCACAGTGTTTGATTTATTTTATTTTAAATTTTGGTTTAGATGTTCTTGTGAAATAAAAAAGAAAAATGGCAGTATATTCCTTCCAGAAAGAAATATGAATGTGTGTTTTGTTGGAAAGAAGGATTTTCAATACAAAGATTTGTATATCAGTCATGTGCTGCTATGGATTTAATAATACTCAGATTTACAAAGGCATATCTGGATTACTGGAGGAGGAGAATCATTTGATGTCTGTTCCTTTTCTGAAAGTCTGGCTGCTGTTAAGCACTGAAGCAGAACAAATTACAATAAAATTGAAGATGTGTCTTCAGAAGTAAAGCCAGAGGGTCAATATTTCATGACGCTGATATAAGTACCTGATGCGCTTAGAGAACAACTGAACTGCTGTAAAAAAATGAATGCTGGAAAGCACATCTATTATTGTTCCCTTTGGGTTTTGTCTTTTTACTTCTCAAAGAACTACAGGATTGTTACTTTACAAGAATAGTGAGTTTCATCATGTGTTTTTTCAAGATACTTACTTCTTGGGAGGTTTATGTGACAAAGATTTTCCCACTGGCTTATATCTAAATAATTTTTTGAGTTTTTTAAAATTATTTTGGGAGATCACAGTAGCACAGCTTGGGACCATGGGAAAGGTTGGATGTTTTTGGCTGCTTTGGTTGTTTCTTTTTGTAACAGTTTAGGGAAGTGTGGTACAAACTGGCGCTCTTGAGTGGGACCTACGGCAGTGGACAGTCAGGTTTTTAAAGACCACATGGAAAGACAATGTAACATTTGGGGCTGGCTGAAATGAGTGCTAAAATTGTTGTTGTCTTTGAAGGAGACAGGTGGTGGTGGGAGGTCAGGGTGAGCGTGCTGAGTGGTACAGCCTGTGGCCAGGCAGCCTCTTCCAGTTCACCTGGAGCTTGTCCAAGGCTGAAGAGTGAGAGAGGTGTTGACTCTCGTGATGCCTTAGAAATCAGGATTTTCCAGCAACATGCACCAGTGCCCAAAAGCTGGAAAGCAGCTAGAGATTACCACATCACAGATTAAGCCTAAAAATCTCTCAAATGGATTTGACTAACTTCCCTTTCTTCCAAGGCTTTAATGGACCTTGTTTAAATTGCATTTGGGATAAGAGTTTCTAGAGTGAATTTGCTGCTTCATGCTTTAGTTAAAGGTTTCTCTTCTAAAAGCTGACTTGAGGTTCTTTCAGAAGGATGGAGTCATTTAGGTTGGAAAAGACCTTTATAATCATTGAGTCCAACCATTAACCCAGCACTGGCAAGTTTACTGCTAAACCATGTCCGTAAGCACTTGGTCTACATTTCTTTTAAATACCTCCAGGGACAGTGTCTCAACCATGGTAACTTTCACTGGGCAGCCTGTTCCAATGCCTGGCAATCCTTTTTGTAAAGAAATTTTTCCTGATATCCAATCTAAACCTCCCCTGGTTCAATTTGAGGCCATTTCCTCTTGTCCTATCACTTGTCACATGGGAGAACAGACTGACCCCCCCACCTACAACCTCCTTTCAGGTAGTTGTAGAGAGCAATAAGATCTTCCCTAAGCCTTCTTTTCTCCAGGCTAACCCCCTGAACTCCCTCAGCTGCTCTTCATCAGACTTGTGGTCCAGACCTTTCTCCAGCTCTGTTGTCATTCCCTGGACTCTATCCAGCATCTCAGTGTCCTTCCTGAATTGAGGGGCCCAGAACTGGACCCAACACTCAGCTTGCAGCCTCACCAGTGCTAAGCACAAGGGTACAATCACTGCCCTGGTCCTGCTGGCCACATGTTATGGTCCAGTTCTTAAATTTTCAGAAATGCCTCTGCCTGAATTGAGATGCAAACCAGACCATATGCCAAAGGACTCCAGTCTCTGACAGCACACTATTGCTGATCCAGGCCAGGATGCCATTGGTTTCTTGGTCACTTGGACACTCACTAGCTCATGTTCAGGTGCTGTCAGCCAGCACCCTCGGATCCTTTTCCAGCAGGCATCTTTCCATGTGCTTCCCCCAGCCTGTAGCACTGCAGGGGTTGTTGTGACCCAGGGTCAGGCACTTGGCCTTCTTGAACCTCATACCACTGGCCTTGGCCCATGGATCCAGCCTGTCCAGATCCCTTGAGCCTTCCTACCCGCCAGCAGATCAACACTCCCACACAATTTGGTATCTCTCCAGATTAATGATAAAGCTATGAAATATAACTGGCTCTCAATACCAAGCCCTGGGGAATGCCACTGGTGACCACTGAGCAGCTGGATGTAGCTCCATTCACCAACACTCACTGGGCCAGGCCACCCAAACTGTTTTTTACCCAGCAAAGAGCCCACCCATCCAAGCCATGGGCAGCCAGTTTCTCCAGGAGATGCTGTGGGAAATGGTGTCACAGGTTTTGCTGATGTCCAGGTAGACACATCCACAGCCTTTCCATCAGCTACTAAGTGGGTCAGACTGTCATAGATGAAGATCAGGTTGGTCAAGCAGAACTTGCCTTTCACAAATCTTTGCTGGCTGGGCCTGATCCCCTGATTGTCTTGTACGTGTTGTGTAATAGCACTTAAAATCATCTGCTCCATAAAGAGCAGGAGGACAAGGTGCAATATATTTATCTCATTATGAAATAATGATCAAATAGTACTATTCCGTTCTCTCATAGCAGAAGACTTAAAATATGAATAATCTTTTCATATTGATATACAGAAAGCAAAGCAATGGCATGGGAAGAATGAGCCCAAAATAAACCAAGAGTACCATGCATAAATCACTCCTGCTAAATATAATTGCTTTTATGTATGAATCACACTAATACTACCCTATCTTTTCTGTAAATGGCACTTCACTGGTGAAAAATTTCAATATGTAATAAAATGAAGCATAATGAAATCTTTCTTGTGAGAAGTTGGAAAGCTGTCAGTTTGGTAAAATGCTACAGTAACTGCAATCCTGTTGATTGGTCCCTGGATTGATCCATCTCTACTGTTAAATACTTGATTTCAGAATTACACTGTCATGCAGCAGGTGACTGCTGCTTAGCTGAGCAGTATGGAGTGACTTTGCTAACAGTATTAGAAAGTGCATGGATTCCAGCCCACCCTATCTCATTTACTTTAAAAATTACTGTGTAAATACAATGATTACAAGCAAGTAATCTTAGAAGAAAATGAAAATTACTTTGCCAGCTACAGTTTTGGTTTTCTAACCTGTCATAGTAAACGACATGGCTTGTAAAGTTGTCTTTGCCATGTGAGCACTGATCCAGTGCTCACTGTATTTTCAGTGGAGCCCTGTTTCATGTAAACGTGATTTTAAGTAAAATCAAAGTGACAGGCATAAGGCACCACTGCTAAGTTCTGGCTGGGACTCTGAACTGAAGCTTTACTTTTTCTTTAGGCACGTAGTGTTTATTTTTCTCATAATCACTTTAGAAGAGATTATTGATCCAGAATAATTAGAAAGATACTTCTGTGTGATTTATACAGTAACATTAGTTACAACAGACAGATGACAAAATTAAGGTAAAATCCAATGCTAAGGTCTACAGTTTGGCTCTCTATTAGGTAGGGTAGCATGTATTGATAAAACATGTATGAACTTGCTTTGCAGGTTGATGTAAATTAAATGGTGTGATCGTTCCCAGGTCAGAATATGATGACAGTAGTCTGGCTTTCTCTTTGTGCATATTCACAACACAAAGATGTGAACAGGGCTGTAGGCTGCTAACATTCTTTACATTCTCCTTTGCAAATTATGTCACTCTGCCTCTTTCTTGCAGAGGTCATGTCAAAATACACTTTTTCCTGCCAGCATAAAATAGTACTTTTAATACCTTACTTATCATTAAACAAATATCATTAGAATGTAGGTCACTTGCCTCTGCTCTTGCTCATAGTAAATATAGAGTTGTCAGTATTTTTTATTTGCTATCTTTTTGAGTTGCAGTAGAATCCAGGCCAGCATTTTCTCAGGTGTGCTTTCATGAAAAGTCACTGCAAGTACATGCATCCTATTTGGTGGTTTAATTAGCACTGCTGGCACTGAAGGGTAGTCTGTGCCTTTTTGCTCATTCAGTGCCTAAAACACTGTGAAATACTTGTGTTTGCCTGACTTTGTAATAAGCCTATATGCTAGAGGGACACTAACATTTATCCATTTTGCTAAGTCAGACTCTAGGAAATGCTCTGAAGTTGGGAAGGAAGACAAAGCAGACTATTGTTTAGTAGTCACCTTGTGAGGAATTGCATCTTTACTATTTTTAAGCTGTCCACAACAAAAAGAGTTTGTAAAATCAGCTTCTCTGTAGAGGAAATGTTTGATTTCTGCAGTGAGTCAAAGTTGTACATTGTCCTCTGTGTAAGACTTTCCTGATACCCACATCTTGTCAGACTAAGAGTTCTGTCAAAGTGCAAGGGAGAATTTGGGCTTTTATAGATACAAATTTAAAATGTCTTTTCCTGTTCAATAGCATTATTGTAGCCTATATAAATATCAAAGAAAATTCCTGAATATTAGACATTACTTTCATTTAGGAAGTTGGTAATATATTGAAGGTTCATATTTAAAGTTCAAGGTTTTATCTTTAAAATTAAAAAAAAATAATATAAAACTGGTATTTGGGACACCTTAATTGAAACCTTGTGATAATGTGGTTTTGCTAGCACTTGGGAAGGGTGGGAAGCCTGAAATTGGCTTCCTGTATGAGATTCCTGCTCTGCTCAGTGCTAATTTCGTGGACTTCTGTTCAGATTTCTCTTGTTTGCAGTACCTTTGAAGCATACAAAAAAACTCCTGAGGGCTCTATGATTGATTTATTTGCCTAATTTCCAGGGGAAGCTAATACACACGTTTCTATGCAGGTATCAAACTGGTTTGCCAATGCAAGACGTCGCCTGAAGAACACTGTCAGGCAGCCAGACCTGAGCTGGGCTTTACGAATAAAACTGTACAACAAATATGTTCAGGGAAATGCTGAGCGACTCAGTGTGAGCAGCGATGACTCGTGCTCTGAAGGTTTGTTGATGCTCTTTTATCGATTTTAAACTGATTAAAATATATAGTTTATAAAGTATTAGATACCCTAGGTTAGCTCTAATTTTTAATACAAATACCCTCAGTGGCTCTGCCTTTATTGTTTTTGTGAATTGGGTGCCTTTTTTGGCTCTCAACTACTAGGCAGCCTTGCAAAGCAAAATTGTGTAAGTCGTTCAAGGTGGTAATCTGGCTGCATATTATTATATTTCATTGTTGCTAAAAAGATAATGTTTTGTTCATGGCATTCTACAAGCCTATTCCTTTAGTCTGCATTAAAGGAAAAAAAATGGATTACATTTCTTGGTATAAAGAAATGAGAAATCACTTGACTTACTTTCCTTCGTGGAAGGTCTATAGCAATATACATCATTAAAGGGTTGATTAGTGGGGCATCTTAGATGGTAAACTGAATATTACTGTTATTTATTTGATGTATTTTGCTAGCAGCTGTTTTCCATAAAGGATGTACTGGAATTCTCTTTCTGACTCAAATTAACAAAAGCAGGATTTTTTTAAGTACCCTGTATTTTAATAGAATTCTTGTATTAATTCTGTCTGTGAGTGCTTTTTTTAGACAGTTGTGACATGGAGATAACAATGACAGGAACAAATCCTACAGAACATTGTCAAAAACCTGTATGTGAATTTTTAGAAGAGTATGTCTCAATTTGTGCTCAATTTCAAATATCTTTGTTCCAATTTCAGTCTGTACTCACACTTCTTGAAAAATGTGGGAATATAGTCATATTTCTACTCACTTCCCTTGAAAAGATTGCTTGCAGAACAATTAAAAGGGTACAGTTTAAGCAAATGTACCTAAGTATTCGGTGGTATTGAGACAAGCCAAATTTCAAGTTATGATAGTAAGAATTCAGCCTATTCACACAGCTTTTTAAATGCTTATCATTGTGTTAGGGCACTTTCCAATTTTTTTCTACCTGTCTTGTGTTACTCATGAACAAATCAGACTCAAAGATTTTTCTACAGCTAATTAATTTAGAATACCTGGAATATCTGAGAATCATGGGAACTACTATGAGCAATGTGTGAACAGAAGAAAATGAAAATCAGTGTCTAATGCTGGTTACTGTCTAGTTTTAGTTATATTTATCACAATGCAAAACATGGAGACAAAGCCTCGTGATAACTGTTAAGTACTCAATGTATCACTGTATCTTTGTTCTTTTGTTTTCAGATGGAGAAAATCCTCCGAGAAACCATATGAATGAAGGGGGATATAACAAACCAGTTCATCACACTGTGATTAAAACTGAAAGTTCAGTAATAAAAACAGGAGTGAGACCAGAAGCAAGTGCCAATGAGGATTATGTGTCACCCCCCAAATACAAAAGCAGCTTACTGAATCGTTACCTAAATGACTCATTGAGACATGTCATGGCTACTAATGCAGCTATGATGGAAAAAACAAGGCAAAGGAATCATTCTGGTTCATTTAGTTCCAATGAATTTGAGGAAGAACTGGTGTCTCCATCATCATCAGAGACAGAAGGCAATTTTGTCTATCGGACAGGTAAGGGATATTTTTCTGCATGATTTCTATTAAAGACATCTTCAGTAGACAGTGGCTCCTGGAATGAATGTCACCTGGTTGTGCTTTTTTTGAGATTTCTGTCCATCCTCTTATATCACAGTGGATAATTCCTGTCCATCCTCTCATATCAGGATGGATAAATCCTTTCCACCCTTTCATTCTCTGGAGAAGTTCTACCTGCAGTATTACAGTTAAGTGCTGTTAATGGCCACTAATGAAGCTGGTTTGCTTTTCAAATAGAGCAATGGGGATAGTTTTTGAAATGCCACTTACAGGCCACTTTTTGTCAGCACCAAGATGAGCCTAAGGAAGGAGAAATTCTTCCGTATTCTATTACAATAAGGGAGGAGTAGAGGAGGACTGAAGTTCTCCTCGGCCACAGCTGGGAGGAGGAAGAGGGCTTTGAAATTTCAAGGTGGCTGTTTGTGACACTTACATGAGTCATATGCCCTTCAGTGCAGTGCATGTGAACACCCTCCTCTGTTGAACAGCACCTTTTCTGTCCTCAGAGTGCCTTGTCCATTGTGACCCTTTGGTGCTCATGCATCTATTAGGAATACAGGCATTAGTGAGGACTAATTTCTGCATCACTCTCCTGAGCTAAGGGGCCACAGACTTGGCCATTAAATACCTTGTCTTGCTGGTTTTTGAAGGGTTACACATAGTTTATTATTGTAATCTTATCAATAAAAACATACAAGCATGATGTAATGTCATCCACTGTGTTACCAGTCAGAGCAAGGCACATGGGACTGCCTGGTTCATGCCAGTAAATTGCTGTAAATCAGGGCAAGATGAGGATTTGCTTAAGTCCCCGTGAGTCAGGGGATGCTGGAAGGCTCCTCTTGTGAAACTTCTTCCGTATTTCTTTGAGACATAAGGTGAAAAAAATTTCATTTTGAAAAATACGAAGTTTTGCACCCCAGTCTCTGAAGGTCTCCACCAGTGTCTCAGGGTTTCAACTCATTGCAGCAGCCCCTTGTGTTGTTCTGGGCCTTTCTTGGCAGGTTATTCTGCCAGGGAACACCCTGAGGGCAGCATCTTCAGGGATGGATATTGCTGAAAATATAATTTCAATTATGGAGGATTTTGCTGTAAAGATAATACAGATTTAGATTTTGTACTTGATTCCCCTTGGCTTCCTTGGCAGGCAGGTTCAGGTGCCTTTGCATCTTCTCCAGTTTGCAGCCTTTGCTCTCTCTTTTCTGGCACATTTCTTGTGGGTTTTTTTGTCCACGTGGAGGGGCCACAAGGCTGAGTTCTGTTGGTGGGGATTAGGAATACATTTGTGTGTTCAGGTTGTTGGGAATGACCAGAGAACGAGTGGGGACCTGTAGGGAAATGGGGTCTTGTGGGGAGAAAGAATAGTGCTTGCTCAATTAGTAAGTTTCAAAATAAACTCTCTCTATTCTTTTTTTTTTTTTTCTGAACATACCAAATGCGTTTGGCCTGCATTACAAGTATATTGTTTGCCAGGCTTTATTTTTAAGTGAAAAGTTACTCAAGAGCAGATGCAGAAGCTCAGAAACATAAACTTCTGATTTTCTGTGCTTTATACCATAACCTAAAAATGGATGCAATGACTTTTTAAAATTTATAATAAATTTGCTACTGGATTAAGCTCTTCTTGACAAATTTCAAGCTGCACTGAAAAATATGGTCATTAATGTGAAGGCTGAGGGAGGCACACTGAAACTGTATAAATTCACCAGCTGTGCTGGAATGACTAAAAACTAGTATACTTGTCCTTAAAATTCTTAAGTGACATTCCTGGAACTCCTCTTGAGATTGCATTTAAGTCAGTTCCTAAATATCTTCCTTAACATTTTCACTTTTTTTGAGAAATCAAAAAAAGCAGCTCTTAGGATATAGTTTTATTCTTTTTGCACTTTGAAAGCAGACAAGCAGCATATAGAAATAAAAAAGATCGTATATATACACATTATATACATATTTTATATATATATATATATACACATTACTTTTTTTTGCTATATCATTGCTATATGTGTGAACATTCAGGAAATACAGTTACAAATGGGCTTTTTTCAGTTACAAGATTACAGTCCCATTAATGATATTTTGATGTTACACATGCAGGAATTAAACTTTTCCTGAAGAAACATATACTTTCAAGGTATTGTCCCTTTATGAAACTTATCTTCAAATAGATGAAATTATCCACATGATTGTTAGACAGGGAGAGATAAATAAGGATGATATATTTTTAAATGTTTTTCTTTGTAATTTGAATACCTGTGTTGGCAGTTCTTAGTGCAGTATGGTACCAGACTGGTATCTGTGTTTTCAAAAATAGCTGTAATACATTTTGGTTAAGCAAATAACAGGGTATGGCTGATTTTACCATTCTTAACCTCCTGGAAGTGGCAAGTGTATTTTTAAGTGAGATATGACCACTTACAAGGAGTTCCACACTGCAATTTTTTGTAGTGCAAAACAGCCAATTTTTAACACAAAGGAGCTGTTGCAGGATTGTCAAGTCCCTGCTAGACATTTTAATTTATGAAGACATTTTAAGCAGCATTTCAAAAAGCACAGAGTGAAAACTGATTGATGTTTTATTTTTGAGAAATGTTTGGCAAGGTTGTTACACCTGTAAGGACAGGAAGTCACTGGAGTTTAAATTAACTCTCTATTGTGCTTCCCTGGAAAAGTAGGGAAGATCATGAGTGAGCGAGTGAGCAAACAAGCTTGTAGCACATCATGAGTGAGAAGGCTTACTCGTCCTGTCTGGTTCTGATTAGGCTGGACCCTGATTTCAGGTACATCAGTGTGTCTGGAGCTGCTTTGTGTGCCTGGGGTCAGTGTGGCCACGTGTGTCTCAACAGCCTGCGCCAAATTAACGGTGTACGAGTGCAGTGTCCAATAACAAAAACAAGAAATTGCAGTTTAAAGTTTATACAGAACACGGGTTGTGGAGGTTCCCATTTCAGTCATTAACATGCTTATAAACACGGGACCATATGCTACTCCAGCTTCATGCAACTGGGAAATCCCACATAAAGATCAAGGACAGGCTATATAACTGACTGTCGGCGGAGCAGCCGCCTTTTCTACCTCCACGCAATTTTTGTGGGAAGTATTTCGGTGCTGGGGCAGGAGCAGCAAACCCCGAGTCGGAGCCTCACAGGTGCAGTGCCCAAGCTGCCATTCCCCAGCCCCAGGCCCGGGGAGCCGCTGCCGGAGGTGGCACGGGCAGACAGCGCGGGCAGCCGGGGAGAGAGCAGCCGCCACGGGTATGGCACGGGCTTCCGTAAGCCTTTCTGTCCTAAGCTGATATTCTTATGTATGTAACAGGATATACACAAGTGTGTTCACTTAAAGCAGAAAATTTCAGTTCAGATCAATCCTGGTGCAGTTATGATATGTAAGTATAGATAATTGGTCAAATATGCATCTGAAACTGATGACTGAAAGGCTTGGTTCGGTATTTTTGTTTAATTAAAAAGCCGTGTTGGAGAACTGGTTTTCACTAACTGCTTGGCATGCAGTCACTCACAGCGGGTTCTCTGTGTGACAGGAATAAGTGAAAGCAGACTTGTCTACCCGTATTTGTTGTACAAATGCATGCAGAAATAACAGTCTTGACGGCAACAAGCACTCCAGAAACCTACAAGGAAAAGATCTAATGTTTGTAGTGAAGCTGAATATAAATCTAAAGAGGCAACATCAGTCTTTGGTTTATGGATCACTAAAATGCTGACTTTTCTGTAATCAAGCTGCAGTACTCCCTGAGTACCCTATTTGTCAGTCACCTGCAGAAACAAAATGTTCTGCATCGTTGTAGCACAAGGAAATTAAGAATTCCCAGCTTTCTGGGATATTGTTATCTAGTGAAGGAAAGAAAAAATTAAAACAAGAGAAAAAGAGATGAAATGGTAGGACAGGGAGTCCTTTTTCTTCAGGCAGATTTTTCATTTATTTCATTTTATGTGTTACTTAGCACAGCAGAAAAGCCAGAACAAATAAAAACAGTGAGGAAACTCATGACTTGCAGGCCTGGAAAAGAGGATGGTTTTAAACAAGCGCTTGAACCACTGGCCGATTTTTGAAGATGTTTGATCTCTATTTTTAGATATTCATACTCAGGAGTACGCTCTGTTTCTGATGTTTTCATTACTACTGAGTTTTCTTTCTTCTCACCTTGCTTCCTTTCTTTCCTTTGGATCTTGCAAAGTTGGTGATTTATAAAGCACTGTCCTGGGTCATTTATTGCAGCACACTGAGCACCTCTGATGTGACCCTCGGCACTCTGCAGGATCAGGCCCAGATTCCTACAGAGCACTTAAATCTGTAGCCGTGCACAGAAGTACTGTAGAGAGACACAAACTGCAGAACAGTGCTGTGATTTTGTGTGGTCCTTGCCAACTTTTCCTCCCAATTTAACATTTTTAGAAATTAATGTGTAATTTAAAAATAAGCCATAAAATTTGAAAACATAATATGAACACAATGGAACCTGTTTTCAGAAACAACTCAAGGGACCTACAAAAACTGCTCACAGCAGTGACTTTTGCAAGTTGGATCTAAATAGTGCTGGAGACCTTGGGGATACTTTGAAATAAATGGTAACCTGGGAGAGCTGAAGGAGGTCTTTTTTGCAGATCCTAATGTCATCCAGAAGTGAAATGTAAAAGGTGAATGTCAAGTACAGAATTAAATGCACACAGAGCATAACTGCAATTTGAAGGTTACACAGTTAAGATCGTATTTCTGCAGGAATTTTATTATTACATGACCTGAGTCATCAACTAAAATAGCATGGAATTGAGAATTGAGATTGTGTTTAATTTACTGTTCTGTTGTTTTTTTCTAAAGAAAGAACAAAAGGAAATGGCTTTACTGCACAGGAAGCATCAGGTTTAATATACCAGATGTGATAGCCCAAATCTGAGAACTTTAAAGATCCCACCCGTTCCCTGCTAGTTTGGTTCACTTACTGCATTTCTTTCAGTTCAAACACCAAAAATCAAATAAGCTGGTTTTTTAGTTCTCTTTAGTTTCTTGATTTCTCAGTACCTGAGCTGCAATGGGAATGTGTCAGGATTTTCTCCACATGACTCCAAAAAACGGTGCTTCATCAAAACTGAATCTTTTTTGTGGGAAGGTAGCAGTTCCAACCTCTCTCAAGTAGGAGAATGGAGGAGGAGAGCACTGGGTGGGCTGGGAACAGCAACAGCTGGGGGCAGAGCGCTGTCCAAAAATCCTGGACACTCAGGAACTGCCAGCTAGCAAGGAAGAGCTTTGCCTGGAGCCAGCCCTGCTGAGAGGAGAAGCAACACTCTGGGCAGTGCAGTTTTCCTGTGCCACTTCTCTCCACTCCATTCTTTTATTGGAAAAGAGAGTATTTGTTTTCTCTGAGGTGTTGGATGCAAAAACTGCGCATTCTTAGTTTATCTGTTTGTTTTCTGATGCAAAAGGTTATGAATGTTTAAGGCTTTTTTTTCCTGTTGAAACCCAAAATATTAAAGATTCCAGAGATCCGCCTCTGTGCAGATAAGACAAGCTTAAATAGCAGCATGTTTGTGCCTGTTCTATAATTCAGGTATAATTGCTGTGGAGACCCCACAGAGCAGAGGCGGACTGTGGGCACGTCTTCTGGTTTTGCTTCTGTTGATGTCATGGCAAATTTTCCACATGCTTCAGTAAAAACTGTCTAGAGCCAGTTGTTGGCTGCAGAGGATTTTCTTCAAATCAGCTTGCCTCAGAGCAGCATGTGTCAGGACTCCTGACAGCTTTATCATTGTAGGGAATGGGATGTGCCTGCATGGATGATTTCAAATGGAAAAGATTACAACATTTGACTGAAAAAGCAGAGAAGACACCAAAAAATTCAGGGCACCAGCCATGTTTCCATGACCACAGGTTGTTGCTGCCTGTGCCGGTACAGCAAGCTTCCCTTTGTTTCTCCAAGACCATTAACATTTTCCCAATAAAATATTCACAGCACTGGCCAAAAAGCGTCAGATCCCTGTGCTTGCCCAAGACCCCTCTCAGACACAGCAGGAAAAAATGTGTGGTACTGTCACCAGTCTCTGACAACTATATGTTTTAATACTCCTCTTTAGAGTTAGTCAATGCTCCAGGCCTCAGCAAGGGCTGTTCTCTGGCAAGCCTTAGACTTTACTCATTTAGTAAAGGTGTTTTCAAAGAGAAAAAAGTATTTATCCCCATTTTCCCATTGTTCCAAATGTCTTCAGAATTATGCTTGGTTTTAAAACCTGGGGCCAGCCAAAATGTGAATGTTTCAGGAAATTATGTACATGGAAAAGCACATAGTCATAAATCAGACTATTTTCCAGTTTTAGCTCTAGACTGCATGGTTAGTAATGAATATAATAGGGAAATTAGTTAGAAAATTAGCAGTTAATTTAAGGATATTTAAAGAGTGTGTGAAACTACAGCTTGGGAAAACTCATTTAGTGAAATGGATGTGATTCCTTCTCCCTTTCTACTGCCTGAGCAGGATTTTCCCCAGTAGCCAAATTTGTGTGCAGATCTCCTGCAGCAGAAACACCAGGCTCACATACTGCCTTGCCATGGCTTCTGTCCTGATTCAGGGGTCCCTCAACCTTGCAAACAAAGCTGCAGCCATTGCTGCAAGAAGAAACACTGCTCAGAAAGGAGGGCAGAGTGGGGCTTGAGGGAGATAAGGAGACGAGGTAAATGAGGCACGTACCAGCTCAAGCAGAGCAGCAGAAAGCTCTGGGTGCTGCAGCCCTGGTGCAAGAAGCAGGGACACAGCAGGACAGCACCAGGCAGGAGCAGTGCTTTGCATCCCATGGGATGTCTCCATAGCCTGGCTGCCTCATGCTGCCTTGGTGTGCGTGCAGAGGGGCCCTGGCACTGCTGCTGTCCACCAGAATGCTTCTGGAGGCACAACGGAGGGTGTATCTGCTCAGTCCCTTAAACAGGAGATCCAGCAACAAAATGTATCAGCTGTTTGTGCCAAAGGGGAGATGTAGGCCAACAAACTTTAAAAATATGGCATGATTTTATACGTGGAATAATGAAAAAGAAGAATAAAACACTAAGACAGAGATGTGTGCTGTCACTTCATCAGAAGTGCCTTACAAATCACACACTACTTTATATCAGTGATGGGGAAGCACTTTTGAGCAGACAAAGCCATGGCTGGAGGCAGATCACTGGGCTGTGAGCAAGACTTGTGCTGGCTCCAACACTGAAATGTGCCTGTTCTGCTCCTCAGGGCTTTTGTGGCACTGCAGCTGACTCTGCTCCTGCACCAAGACATCTGCTCATGGCACCTGCATGAAGAAAGAGAAATGACAGGGACAAAACTCTTCTTTATTGCCCAGTGGATCACTTTTACATATGAAATCTATACTCTTCATCACAAGTTACCCCTGCCTTCGGTGTTTCTTACTATCATACTAATCTGTGTGCGGTGCAAGGAATTGTGACCAGGAAGGGACAGGGTGCAGACAAGGCAGGCGCAGGCGAGACAGGGTAGCAGCAGAAGGGAAAAAAGGGCTGGACTTTTCACATTCTGGCATGGGCAATAAACTTAAAGGAATGGCAAGCCCATAAAAGTTTCACTTCTTTCTGGAAAAACATCTGAATTGAAACTTCACACCTGGCATGAGTTTTCTGCACGTCCCAGCCTCCTTCCGCCTCTGCTGGGGAGAAATAATGCGACTTTAGGTAAATCCTGGTAGATTCTGCTTGTAGTGTAGATTGTCCCTCGTGCAGTGTTACCTTGCTGCTGTTCATGTTGCTGTAGTTAAGGTTGTACCTGAGTTTCCATTAGAGCCCTTTTAATCTGCAAATTTATGACCCAGCTGTAAAAATTCAATCCAGACTGAAACTTGGCATGAACAGTGTTCACTCTCCCATCTGTGGAAGGGATTTAAGCAGGTACATCTCAGTAATAACCATCTGAGTTAGGCTTGTAAATTTGGAGCATGATGACTGGTGAAAAATCTGGGAGCTTCTCAGTAGTCCTGGAGTCTGAAATATTTTATGCCTGTGGTGGAACTAGTGAAAAACAGCTTGTTTCTATTCAGTCATATAGATGTAAATAAAGAAAATGTTTTGGGTCTCTGACTGTTTGCTTACATGCACAAACACATGCATTTTCTTTACCATGGCAAGCTTTTGATATGAGTGGCAAACACTTTAAACTCTCTGGTTGCATGCAGCAAGACAGTGTTTGATGATTCTCAAGTAGGTTAAGAAACTGTATTCATGCTGGTGCAAATGGTAGAATTTATCTATTGATTGTAATATGAAATATTAGGAAAATAAGAAGACAGGATTGTTTTGTTCTGGGTGAGATTTTTTTTTTTAATTCTCCTTAAAATACTGTAAAAACGGATACAGTTTGAACTGCAAAATTATTTCATTCACCATTGCATACTCCCATTTTAATTTTCTTTTCTAAAAAGCTACACACTGAACATGCTTGATGATATAAACTTCAGATAGTGATCTTATCTGATCCAGCAAATCCTATTTCCCTTTGCAAGTTTGTGGGTTTTTAAAGTAATTCTGTAATTTGAAAAAAAAAAAAAAAAAAAAGGAAAAAAACCAACCCTCCTATATGTGTTTAACTGAAATTTTTTAGGTCATTTGTCCATAATGTGAATACCAGAAACATAATGATGAAAGCAGTTTAGTGAGACCAGATTTCTGATATTCCATGTGTACTCACAGAGAAGCTTTTGAGAGCGTTTTGACACAATTTGAGAAGTGCACTGAAGGGCTATCTGCGTGGAATAATGCTGGGCTGTGGATGAGTTTGTACATGCGATTCAGAAAATGTCAGGAACCTGTGGATGTTGTTTGCGAATGAGAGTTTTGTCGGCGCTTTTAAAAACATGCGTTCTGCAAAACCGTGTCTAATGTTTTTCTGTAGAGTTAAATTTCTAATTATCCAGAAAACCAAAGTTGGATTCAGTGATATAAAATCCTCTTCCCTACAGACTTAAAGGGTATGAGATAAAGAGGCAGATGTGGAAATTACCAGTGATTACTAAAGACCTGTGGAGGTCTTTTATGCTTTATGGCATTAAATTGGCATCAAATCACCAGTTTAGATCTGCTAAAGGAGAAATATGTCCTAACAGTAAAAGCATGCAAAAGACTTGTATAAGTGGATTGTATGTGAGCTAAAAAAAAAGAAGACCAGGAGTTTTTTAAAATAGAGAAAGGTAAATTACATTGTAGAAAATCTGGAAAAGTAAAAAACATTCAAACAGAAAGCGATCAGATAAACATTTGAAGATAAACTAGCTGAAAAGAAACACAAAAATAGGTAAAGCAAAATTGCAATGAGGCATGAAATTTGTTTTCCTGAATTTTTCACAGTGGCCTTGAAACCTGATGTCAGCGGCTCCATCTCTGTTCTTTCACTGATGGCCAGAAATTGAGGTTATGATGACCAGATCGTTTGGTATGGCACTGGCATGTCAAGTTGAAAGGAATTGCCAAGATTCTCAGTTATGACACTAAAATATACCAGTATTTCTAGAGCCAATTTTCAGTCCCTCCCTCATGCCTCCACATTGATTTAGGCAACAGATGCACAAAAAGCAAAGCAACATTCAAAATAGTCCCCTAGCTGAGGCTGGGGGAAGGCTGGCTAGTGGGCTGTAGCCAAAATTCCTTAAATGTTACAATGTTTTACATTTCTAAATGTAAAAACTTTCTTTCCAATGTGAGGTACCAGCCAAATGTCTTAGTTACGGTATCTCGGAGTGAAAACTGGCATGTGGCCTTGTGGTCATTTGTGGGTATTGACAGATTTACACCCTCGAAGATCAAGTTAAACGTTGTTGGTTTCTCCATCTCCCCTTACTTTGTCACGGTGTTTTTTTCTCTCTGTTACAAATAGTAATTTGTCAACTTAAATCCAGTTTGCTGGAAAAATGAAGGCTCTTCACGACCTGGCTCTTCAGGAGCAAATTGCCTCAAATTCTTTCTGCTAGCCAAGGTATTTTGTAATGCATTGCAAAACAGCGGCAGGACTGCGCTCCTTGCACTGGATGTACTTTGTGGGCCAGACACTGCGGGCAGTTTTAATGAGGTCTCGGTGTGCTGGGGAATTCATCTCAGCCCTTGACTTCAGGGAGACTTTTATCCCAGGTCCCTGTTTGTGTAATTGCTCTTTCTACCCCAAGGAGCAGGATCTGGCTTGGTCCCATTGTGGGCTGCACCATGCAGAGTCTGGACTGGTGGCTGCTCAGGGTTCTGGATCTGGTGTGCAAAGCCAATGGTCTGCTCCTGACTATTTATGGCAGCTTTGCACTGTGGTGGTGGGTTGTCCTTTATACAGACACACTAAAATCATTGTCCTGTTTTTCTCCCTTTCATGCTTTTTAGCTGGCATAGGTGTTGATTTTTGCATCAAATTAAAATTTCCCTGGGATCATCTTCAAATAGGAGCTTCCTCCCTAAGACAACAGCCCTCGTTCCTTTATCAGGGAAAGCTCTGGGTGTCTGCAGCACTGTTGTGCCAGCAGAGTCAGAGAGAGCCACGTGCAGCCTGTGAAACTTGTGTCAGCTGGGGGAGCAGGGGTGCTGGGTGAAGCCTGGAGCCCCTCTCTATCTGCAATGTCATAATTACAATCATTCTGGCCCTCCTGCTTGTTGAATGTCAGTAGTGCTGGGTGTTTAGGGACACTTTCTGAAGGGAAGAGAAACCAAAAAAGCTGTCCTGCTCTGGCCAGCACTTGAGATTGTAGTGGTGTTGGTAAGATATACAATGTTTCATACTCATACATACACACAGATGCACATTTATTTCCTTAGTGCCCTATTACGATGTTCTCTTGCTGGTTTGCTGTGCTTGCACCTTCAGCTCAGAGCTGGGCAGAAGTTTACTATGGCAGTGAATTTTGCAAAGACAGAGGAAAAGAGGCTCCCAACTGTATTGTCTACAAAAAATTAAATATCTTCCTTCCAAATTCTTGCTGAGTTGCTCCAGATTGCCCCTGCAAAGCTGAAAATCCTTTTCACAAAAGTCAGCACAGAAGACAAAGCTAACCTTCAGGTATTGATCCCAGTAATCTTTTGTTTTATGCAAAGGCTTATTTGTGCTGTCTAAACCGAGGTGAAGAAATACTTGTTTAAACATTTAAATGAAAAAAATGGTAGGTGTCTTTATAAGCCTGTTTTCTTTTTAGTATTTTGTCCCAGCCTTTCTGCTGCCGTTTTCACTCCTTGTCTAATGAAACTGTGAGTGATAATTTCTCCTTGCTACATGTGCACATAAGCACTAATTTATATTTATTACATTTGCTGTGAATTTATATAGGGAAAATGTCCTTAATATTTCTCATTCTTCTATACCTCATTCAAATCACAGATTCACACATCTGATTCTCTTCCCTCTTATTTCAGAAGGGGTTGGCAATTATATCTATACCCAACTCAAAGGGCCTTTATCTTCACCTGATAATTGAGGGACAGGCACTAAGATATGTTTTAAAACCAGCCCTTTGGAAGTGCAAAAATCAAATTTGCCAAGATCTGGTCTGGGTTTTGAGTGTTTTGGCCCCAAAGCGTGCTACATGATTTGACACACAATGTTCATGTGTTTGCAAAGCTCTCCAAACTTCATTTTGTGAACTGCTGCTGCTTTCAGTGGGATCTTTGCTCACAGATCAAGGACTGTGAGCCTTGGAGAATGTAGTGTTCATATTTGGGTACTCCTTATCCTTCATTCCTTGCACAAAGCAGGAAAAATAAAGACTGTATTCAGTGCTGTGGTACTACTGCATTTGCTGAGCTTTGGGAAGCTCTGATATCTGTCTGTGGACTTTATGGGTGCTCAGAAACACCCCTTCCCTATCCAGAGCAGTGGCAGCACTCAGCCTGATGTGAGCCTGATGTGAGCCCACCTTTCCTGCCTCATGGCTATGTCATCTTTCCATCATGTCTGCACAGCCTCTAGACAGTGGCTCCACACTGCCCACAGGACCAAAAGTCCTTTGACAGAAGGTGTAGGAGACGGGTCTTCTGAGGTAAACTCCCCATGAGCCACTGGCTCCTGCCCACCGTCGCTCATGGGGAGCCTGTGTCCCACCACCCAACACCTCCAGCCCACAGCCCAGCTGGGAGCAGCAGGTCTCAGAAAAAAGCCAGGTCTGGGTGAGCTGGCCAAAGGGTGAGAGATGAGTGTTGGGGCAGGGTGTCTGAAGGAGGTAGTAGGGAGAGATGGGTTTGTCCTGCCCCTCAGGGTGTGAGGGACATGCCTGCAGTGGGATATCCACTAACAGGGCTCACCTTTGTCCTTGGTGAGCTCTGCTTCATCCAAGGGTATTCCTCCCTTGGCCCCAGCACATCTTACAGCTGGAATAGGGGTATAGGTAAATCAGATGCCCTGAGTTCACGAATACAGGGTAACTGTTTGGAGAGGAGAGGAGGGAGAAAATCAACAAAGGCTTTTGATATATTGTATGTCGTCTGTACGTGACACTTCAAGACTTCAAATGCTTAAGCTAAAAACCTAAATATAATTTAGTTAGTAAAAATATACCTTAGTTATAATAAAATGATAATAGTGGAACTTGGCAACAGAGCAGCTAATAAATACTACACTTTTGAAATGTGCCTGGGATCCAAGTACATACTCTTTTACTGTGTAGTTAAAGCATGTGGCAGGACATGCTAGACTAAGATTTTCTTTTTGTCTTTCCAGTGGAAAACTAAAGTTCTTTGTTTAAGTGAAGCCCATTGGGAATTTTTCTTAAGTAAAACAAGGAGCTAAAGAATTCCATTCCCTTTTGCCAACTTTTTTTCCTCCTTCAAGCCAAATTATCGATTAATGGGGCATTAAATAACAAATACTGCCTAGTTAGAATCATACCCTTTTTTTACTTAGGCTATTTCAATACTTTCTTATTGGTGCTTCAAACACAGCTGAATGAAAAGATGAGACATTTTATTGGAAACTACTACCCTTTCTAAACCTTTTTGACCTTATAAAAAGAAAGGTCAGTAATCTGAAAGTCATTACATTTGCATACTTACCCTATTTTTGAATTTTTAAATGAAAAAAAAAAAAAATCTGTACTCCTTTAAAGTCTTCTTCCTGAGATTCATTCTTTGCCTTCCTCATTAGCTGTCTCCATTTCGGTACCCTATCGTTTTGCCAGCAGAGCAGCCATGTGAATGCTTGACCATATTTTTGTCTGGCTCTAGTGAAACCGTGATCTGACAATAGAATATTTTCCCCGGGTTTTCCTTCTTTCCCTGGGGAACCATACTTCAAGGGCAACCTGCTTGTCCAGCATATGAACATGTGGAAAATCCACTGCTATGCACTAATGATTTTCAGATGGGCAATTGTTGCTGAAAATCATCCCAAGAGCAGCAGCTTCTCCACTGTAGCACCTAACCACTGTAGGATCACATTGCCTGTAGCTGCTCTGGAATAAACCCTTTGTATTTATGTACAGGGTGGTGACATATGCTGCATCACACATACATGGTGACAAAATTTAGGGGAGGAAAAGGAGGTACAAGTTACAGTTGTGGTTATTTTTTGGCCATTGTAACATGCATCAAAATCTGACACTTATTTTAGATTGAAAGTATAAATGTAGGAAAAAGCTGAGCTCTGCCAAAGATTCCCAACAGCAAGGCAGAAGCACCCTAAATATTGTCCACAAATTAATAGCTTTGAAACTTGTGTTTTAAATATTTACAAGGAGACTTGTCACACTCTGGGAGAGAGTAAAATGAGTTTTAAATTTTAAATAACTTTTATTACTGTTCTTAGAATATGCATTATTTTTAAACAACTTTCACTTTTAATCTGTAATTAAAGCCAAAGTTTTCTTTTAATTTTAAAAGCTTGCCCTTGGACTAAAACAACATGGAACATTTTTAAACATTGATCCAAGCTGCTGTAGATACATTTTATTTAAACCACAGAGCCTGCAGTTGGATTCCTTGCTTTGCCAGATCGGCTATGAACTGTAAGTGTGGCAGTAATGATTGTGGAGTCCTGGATGCTTCACTGAGGAGGGTTGTTTTTCTGGAGTTGTTCCTCCCTTTGGGCCCTATTCATGAATGACTTAATCTCTGTCTATGATCAAATGTCATGCAAGTTACTGCGCACAGAAAAATCAAGGAATGCTTCTCTTTCCTGCGTTCCTTACATGGAATTGCTGTGCCTGCCCAGCAAGCAGTTCGAGAGTGGTAAGGGTGGGAAGCAGCAGCAACAAAAACACACAGAGAAAACCACCAGAAGCAATATAAAAAAAGTGAGACAAAGAAAACAGAGAAAATTTTGTAAGCTCTGGTGTGCAAGTTGGATTGAGCCATGCACAAGACAGCTCCAGCTTGTCCAGGCAGCACCAGCTGGAGGGGAAACTGGGCTTTCAACTGGGGAGTGTTATAAGGGCAATTTATTCACCATGAAAAACAAAAGTGTTCCCCAGTAATTTGTCTGCAGGGTTGGCCATAAAGATGATTTCTACCGCATGTTTCTGTTAGCTTGTTTTGTCTTGAAAAGCAAACACTACTGTTTCAATGGGCAGATCTCAAGAATTTCAGGGAGCAAACACTTCTTAGTCTTTTTATCCTCTTGACCTAATTGCTTGTGTGGTAATTCTGTCCTTTGACAGGATGTTACACCACTTTATTTGAAGCCAAGAGCAAGACTTTCATTACTAATGATATCGATTACACAATGCATGCCATGCAAGGAATTTTTTCTTGTGATGTTTTGGTATTTTGTTAGAGATACAGCAGAATACTGGGGTGAAGTGGTGCTTAGCTGTCTCCATATTTATACAGGTCTCCTCCTTACTTTTTAAATTTCAACAGTTTTTACTTTTGTTAGGTTCTGTTCTCCGTTAAGAGTGAAGAAAGGACTTATATTATCAGAGTTGTTTTTCTCATCACCAACACCCTGCAGCCACTGCATGAAATTTTGTCTGTGTCTCCATGCCCTAGTGTGAGGACAGATTGCTATAGCAGGACTCCCACGCCAAACAGTCACTGGTGGCAAATGGGAAATAACTTGATTCAGGTGCTGAACTTCTCCAGCTGCTGATGGGAGTTACACTTGTTTGTCCAGGACAGTGACTGGAATAGTCGTTTAGCTCTTTTTGAGATATTTTCCATCCCTTTAGTACTGACAATGGACTTAAAAGATGTAACTTTCTTTTCAGGTAGGTCACGGCTGGAGTATCATTTTAGCTCTAGGAGGGAAAAGATAGAAGAAAGGATAGGGAATGAAGGGAAAAAGAAAAACTCAGAGCCAGGAAATAAATACAGATAGGAAAATAAAGAGCAGAAAGTTTTGGAAGATTATAAAGAGAAGATAGTGTTGGGAGAGGATGCAGAAAGGGGAATGCAAGATTGAGGACAATAACAAAAAGGAAAAGGAAAGAAAAGGGATCAAAGGGATGAAGGCAAGAAGATAAAATACTGAAGAAGCAGCTATGGAAATAATGGTAGGAATCTAGAGTGTAATATGGAAGAGTTCTAGAATAAATTAGAGAAGGGTTGGAGATACCTGCATTTTTGATAGTCAAAAATTAGAAGTTTGATATTTCCCTTTTCAACGTGTTTGAGAAATGAGGGTAGACAAGCATTCAAGATACTGCCACCATTCTTAGAAGGAACCTTTGGGTCCAATTGTGGTGTATTGGCATTTTTTTCCATGTTACACAGGCTAAGAGCAAATACACTTCCAGGAAAGGGTATGACCTTACTTAGGATACAAAGCAAATTAATCCAAACTGTTGCTCCACAGCTTCGGGCAAAAACACAGCTTAGTCTGGGTCTGGGAAATACTCCAGTGTTGGTGGCAGTGGTGGTAGTGATGGAGGTGTCTGTTTGTGTGAGATGTGTGGTTATTAATTTCCCAGTCTCTTGATGCATCTGCAATCCCTGACTAAGCTGGACACAAAAGTATAGAATACTTCTCATATTTTGGCTTGATCTTACCCAATCCAGACTTTGGCGCATTCTACCAAGACCTGTTTTGAAAACTGTAAGTAGTTTTCAGGCTACTGTGAGACAATTTGGCCAAGTGTGGAGGCTTCCTTGGCCCAGTGTTCCTGAAAGTTTTAACTTCTTTTAGGTCTGCTCCTTTCTGTAAATTTTTCAAATCAGACATTCTCTTTGAAATTTTTTCAAGTCATCATCTGTAAGTTAAAGTGAGAAATCTTCTTAACCTAATGCATGGTTGGCTGAGGGCAGTATCTTTGTGCTCCTCCAGGACAAGCATCTGTCAGTACAGTAGAAAGGACATCACCTGGGATAGACTGGTTTTTTGATCCTGTATGTCAAAATATGCATTCCTATACAGTTCATGGTATATATGAACCTAAAATATGTCATGCCAGATCTGATAATTACACGTATAATTTTCAAGTTCAGCAAAAGGTTTTGTTTCTTTTCCCCCATCATTTTTTAAAGAAACCAAATATATCTGAATTAAAAACATGATTGGTGATGGTGAGTGGGTGGTTCTGTTTACCCTGCCACATTATATAGTACCACTTTTACTCCTTGTTTGGATAGCAGTCACAAGACCCAGATATCAAGCTGTGAAAGTATTTTTCTTGCAGCAGTCTTTCTTTTTTTGGCAGGCAGTGGCTTTGGAGATGCCTCGCATTTTGTCATGTGATTGGACTGCTGATGAGGTTTCTGTGTTGCCTCATTTTCCTGGATTCCATCTGAATTAACTCTTCTTTGGGTCACAGTCATTAGCACACTTCTGAATGAGTGGGGCTTTGCATCATAGTGTAATGAACACTAATACTTAATCTCTGTAAGGAAACACCCTGTAAAGAAGGAATTTGCTGCATTTGTTCCACGTGACAAAAATCTGTTTTCTGTACCTCCAGCTGTCCACATTGAAAAAACATTCCTTCTTCACAGTAATATTCCTTCATGAAACAAGGGAAAATGAGGGGAAATGACTTGTATGTAATTGTTCCATCTAAAAACATTCAGCTTAGTCTTGTAAACACATAAACTAGTTCTTTGTAAACAAGCCTCTTAATTTTCTTTAAACTGAGTATTTAGATGTTATGTTAGAAAAGCTGGGTATATCAAACACATATGGTTCCTATTGCATCAGGGGCTTTCTTAATTTTGGTGTTCTAATTGAAGAGACATTTTTGAAAGCATGCTAACTTTACAGAAACTAATCTGACTCTGTTTGGTCTAGGCTTTATTCTTCCACCTATCACCACACTCTGGAACCATTTTCCACTTTAAATGTGCAGCAGTAACAGTATACCTCATGGATTTTGAATTGCCCTCAATACTTCTAGTGTGTGATATGGAAATATGGTTTGGGGTAGTTGAGGTTGAAGAACAGATAGGGCATTACTTGAAGGGGAGAGAGTTAGGAAGAGACATCAGGGCAGGAATGAGAATAGGGACTATAATTTATTAATCAGATTTTTGCCTTATTCATGGATAATTTATAACACAAAATACCCTAGACCAGGTAGTATCTTTAACTAGACAAAATGTCTATCCGCATCAGAGAAATACTGCAGGTCTCCTTTAAAATATAAGATATTCAATAGATGTCACAAAACAACTATTTCCCTCAGATAACACAAAATTTAACTTTGGCATCCAATATGTATTAATTTTCCCTCCTACAAATAATAGGCAGAGAACTATGAAGTTTGCATTTGAAGTGGGAGTATTTGAAATAGAAAACACATTTCCATCTCAGGCAGTGCTGTTATGGTTTCTGCTCATGTGGGCTTCCAGTGCAGGTGCACGTTCTGCAGAGAGCTGAGCAAGGCCCCTGTGCTTGCAGGTGCTGATGGGGTGGGATGTGTTGCAGAGCTGAGTTAGAGCCCCCTCTCCAGCTCTGAGCTGCACCAGGTTTGCCACTGACTTGGGTCTGAATTCTGGGTAAATCCACTTTTCCCAAGAATGCAGAATGTTTAACAATAAATTGCCTTTTTTCCCCTTTTTTTTTTTCTTTTTTCTTTTTTTTTTTTTTTTTTAATTTTACAACAACATGTACAATATAAAGTCTGCAAAGGTCATAGAGGTAAATTTATTTATTAAATGGAAATACTTGAGTCCAGAAACCATTATGAATCATTTTGGTGTTTTAAGTTCAGGATGCAGGGTAAATTATTCCAAAAATAATGGTAGCCAAATGTCATTCCCTCCAAGCATTTGTGTAATATCTATTTATCTGTGGGCAGATGACTGCTATGTATAATCAGAGGCAGACTTTTGTCAAATTGAGACTAAGTAAACACAGCTGAACACAAGCAAGTTGGACTACAATTTTTTGAGTTCTGCCAGCACTGTTATGACCTTGAAAATGAATGTTTTTTCAGAGCAATCTGCTTTCAATATGGGAGAATTTTTAGTGTTTCAAATTAACAAGTGTTGACTGAAAATTTGTTCTGTTTAATTTTAATATTTTTGTCCAAATAAATGAAAAGTGTATATTTGTCCAAAGGAGGGCATCCTTTCTTCTGGCTGGAAAGTAGGGATGTTTTGTACAGAAGTGTTTCTTGTGTGTATCTATGAGAACAGGAACAACAGTTAGAGCTTTAAACTCATCTGAAACTTCATCATATAATCAGAGAAAATTTTCTATAATTTGCTTGAAACATAAATGCCTTTTTTTTATGCTCTGTGCAAGTAAATGTAGAATTCAGGCAGTAGATTTTATGCCATTACATATTTAGATACTGTTTTAATCATCCTTGAAAACACAGGACTCCTATTTATAAATTTCCCCATTTTTCTAAAGCTTATTATCCTTTTAAACTTTTTGTAAAGACTTTGGTTTTCTCTGGTACCCAAAAACACAAGTCTGATTTTATTGCCGAAAAGTACCATTTAAATCTTTGTTTTAACATGTGGATTTTCTGCCTTTACAGTACCAGTCATTAGAACAGAGAACATCTTGCTCCCTTGGTTTTAAAGGTCACAGCATTTGGAGCTCAGAGAGGCTTTGGAGAGAATTCAAATAGGAGTCCTGATCAAAAATTTGTCTTTCAGTAATTACATCAAGTGAGTGTCATCCATTGCCAATATCTGTGTTTCAAGGCGCTTCTTTCAAAGGGATTTTTTTTTTCCATTTTAAGTGCTATATGGAAACGAGCTTACATACCAAACTTGGGAGTAGGACATGTGCACAGTGTTGTGGCCAGGGGAAGTTTTCACAATGTCTTTGTGCTTCATATTCACAAGTCACACTTCCCAATCTGCCTCTTTGGCAGGCAGCAATTATCAATTTCTACCCAGTTCTTACAGAACAAGGGTTTAATGCCAGCAGCTGAACATGCACAGCACCTCGTATTTGATGGGTTGCTGCAGTGTGACTTTGGCTTTGCAAGTCAAGTGCCATCCCAACAGTTAGTCTTGGATGTTTTTTGAAAGAACTCTTCTTGCTTCAGTTTTCTCTTCCCTTATCATGGCAGAGAAAGAAAAATGAGGATCCAGTTGGAAATGGATGAAGTAAAAAAAGACAGATGTGATACTAAAGAAGACAACACAATTGAGAAGCAATTTTGATTGAGAATTGCAATCACTGGATATGGTAGAATATTCCTGGATTTTGTTCTCTCTACCGAAATGCAGATTCCACAAATAAAGCAGAGGGTGTTTCTCCCAGGTCTATTTGAGCAATGTGGGATCTTAATGTTAACCAAAGTAATATGGAAAAGTCCTTGATGCCAGGTTTTTAGATACTTTTTTGTTCCTTCTGGGCAGCTGCTCCTTGGGGTCTAAGTGTATGGATACTCACAGTGTCGGTGTCCTGATTTGTATTCTGGAATCTTTGCTTCTCCATAAAGGCTACTGAGTCTTATAAAAATAAAAATAAGCCCCCAAAATGGGCCTCTGGGTGTTTGAAGGGTGCAAGGCAAGTACCAATTGCAAAGCTTAGGACCATTCAGGCAGAAGTCTCCTTTTGTTACGACAGCCTGAGGCAGTGTTGGAGGTGTGAGAGGAAGGGTGAGTGTTGCTGCAAATGGGGCTGGGGGTGGTCAGCAGCCTTCAGGTTGCTTTGAGCAGCTCTCAGGATGCTCCTACCTGAGGCAGTAGTTGCCTAGGAAGTGCTACCCAGAGAGAGTTTTTTAAAAGATTTGCTGAGCCTGGAGTCACAGTTTTTGGTTGATGGTGTCAGCCAGCACTAGCCAAGACCTGCCTATGATCTGGGTGAGCCACAACCAGTGCTGCTCAGAGGGGCTGGTTTTGCCAGAACCTTTCCAGTCTGTTAGTCTGAAGTGACGTGTTGGTGCCACCCAGCTAGGCTGGATTTTGTGCATCCTGATGAATCTGTACTATCAAATACAGCATTTGCTGGTGGTTCAAGGTCTGTTTGCCCTTTGTTGGAGAAGGGCAGTGGGCAGGAATTCAGGCACTGTCCACACATGGGATTTGCTCTGTCTGCTTTGTATGCCCTTTGCAGAGCTCCATAAACTTCACAGACTGTGATGTATAGGCATTTGTTCTATGGGAAGGCTTTGGCTCACGGGCAAAAATAAAAAGTTCTTGCAAAATTAAAGAAAAAGCTTTTCTTGTTATAAAAGTGGAAACAGAAGTACTACTAATAATAGCAGCAAGTAAATTAAAAAACATGAAACAGTTCACAGAGCTTAAAGAGTTTGTGTTGTAGCTGCCTGGCTTGCGTGTCTGCTGAGAGTCCTCCTCTTATCCTCTGTTCAAAAGCTCAAAGCCTAGAGTTGTTGGAGGGATCAAAGGATCTCACTTTCTTTCACCATAGTTTTTTCCTATAAAATATAAATGTTCTTTATGTCTGGAGCCATGGCTGCATGTCTCGTTGATTTTCTTTATAGAAGTGGAGATTCAGGATCTTAATTCCTAAAAGGCAGGTGAGAATGCAAGGCTATCTGTACAAATACATCATTGTTGTAGATGCTGCTTACCCTTAGGAAAACATCTAAGTAGATCAGGGAAGACACATAAAAAATTCCGTAAGTGTGAATTACTGTAAGATAAAGTTAATTTAATTGCTCCTTGAACAAAAAGTTCACAGTGAATTCCAACTGCATCTGTATAAGGAATTGTGTTCTATGAATGCTGGTATTTTCTAATTTTTTATTCACATATCTATAGCCCAGTTTCCCATTGCAAACCTTGTTGGGTGAAGAGTTTTTGGGGTTTTTTTTGGGGTTATTTTTATTTATGGTAACATGAGGAAAGACCAATTATTTATAATGCTAATAAAGCTTCTGAGCTGGTTTTGATTTATAGAGCTTCCCAATTAATCAAAATTTCTATTTTTTGAAGTATATCTGTTGATTTAACCATAAATACCATATAGCTTTACTATAAATATGTATGTGCGTTGTAAGTCTGTTGTGGCAAATTATTGCAGGAGAAAATTCCCTGGCAAAGTCTTCTGGCTTCCAGGAAACCGTGTACAATCTAATGTAAAACAAATACATAGTAATATGACATTATCACCTTCTGCAACTGTCTTACATAGTTTTGAAGTACCTTATGTCTGTGCCAACTTGATATTTTTAAATAGTATTCACCCAATTTTGAGGGAAAATGTTGCAAGGGCTACTTGAGATAACATTGTCTTTCACCTTGGAAACCGACAGCCAGCAAATCAGTTAGGTTTTAGAGGGAGGCTATTTGCTTTAACTGCTTTTAGATCACATTCACTGGTCAATGTGTTGGTGCCTTTTCTGGAGAAATATGTTCAATACCTGTGGATAGTGTCTTTTTCCTGTGGTGATAATACACTGTGCATCAATAACTCATAATGGTATTACAAAATTTTATTAATAAATTTATTACAAAATAATTTTATAATATGAAGGGAATTGATTACTTTTTATCACTCATTATTTAAAAGATATGTATTATTACTGTCACAATTATTATTAATACTATTTTAGTCCAGTGTCTATTTAGGTACAGCTTCCAGTGGCTAGTGTAGCTTTTTCAGGTGAAAACTGCAATGATCTCAGAAAATTGCCTTCTTCACTCACAGAAACAGCCTGAGCATATTGCCCAGGCATATTTCAAACTCTCTGTTTGAAAGCAAATCTGTTTGCTTTGAAACACTGTGGCTTAGGGTCCTGCACAGCTCAGCAATTGCGTCTTTGCGAGCTGCTCTTCCCGAGGCGAATGGCAAAGGCTTCGGATGAGCCTCGTCCTTACCCGAGCAGCGTGTCCTGCAGCCGGAGGAGCCGAGCAGAACAGAGCTGCTCCCTGCAGCACCACGGAGCGAGCTCCACAGAGCCTCTGAGAGCCTTGCAGCTGTGCTTGTGCCATGCCAAGGAGAGCAGGCAGCATCTCCAGGTCGGGATGAGGTGTAAGCCGTGTCTCTCAGCAGCAGCCTTTGCTGGAATGCGGGTCCATCATCGCGGCGCAGCGTTGCTGTCACGGTGCTCTCTGCCACGTGGATGCTCCGTGCCCTGCTACGTGCTGCGCATTTACTCAGCCTGCCTTGGCGGCTGAGGCCCGGGCTGCAGCGAAATCTGAACCCAGTCCCTCTCTTGTTATCAGCTGATGATGCTTCCCTGCTGGTTTCTTGAAAATCACTGTCTCCAAAAGCAGCAGTGTTTGTTGAATAACAAACCCCTTCACATTCAAGCTCTTCAGGTTTGGGAACAGAGCCAACATTCTTGAAGAATGATTTAGTGGCCAATAAACATCTGCAAGGTCTGTAAGACTGTCAGAAGCAGTAACATTGCAAGTAAAGATCATATCAGTAGCAATTCCCTTGTCCTGACAAGGCATTCGAAGCAAATATTTGTTCAGTCATCCTCACTCTCATTCCTGTTATCACAGATGGTTTCATACATTTTGCCAGAGAAGCAATTTCATCTTCTTCCACAAAGCTGTTCACATCCAAGGCTCTGCAATGTTAAGTACTGGCCTACTACTGTTTCAGGACCTCCCACATGTGCTCCTTCAGTGTGCAGGAACCTCATCTGTCTTAGGCAAAGGCTCAGCTGTGAAGGGCGCTTACAACTTTCAATTAGTGAGCATCTGCAGTGTTAAAGTTTAGCTGGTCCTTGAGAATTTAAGCCCAGTGTGGCTGATTTATTCCACTGCACCAATCTCCGTGATAGCCCAGATAGGCTTTGAGGTCTTTGTATGATTCTTCTGCAGAGTTACTGGAATTGCACTGCATTAGGACTCAAACCATTTTAAACACAAGATGATGTTTAGAGTATAGAAGGAGGTGTTTCTTCTTCTTCAAAACCTCTTGGCAAATAGGCACATCTTCCTGAATGACTCTGGGCATGATGTTCTTCTCCAAGAACCTTCTGCCTTTTAGTGCACTGCCTCTCACTCACCCAGTGAACAGGAAAACTGAAAACACAGCCCTTCTTGATAGGCCTCCCAATTTACTAGAATCTCTGAGGGCCTGTTTAAAAGGTGCCTGGGAACATTTAGGTTTGGTAAGAAATCCTGTAATGGAAATCAGAACAGTGCAAGTTGTGGTGAGCAGGAACATGAAGACTGCAATAGCTTCACAAGGGAAAGCAGAGGAAACAAAACTGAAGAACTGACTCAAAAATAATGCTGTCAAACACTAAAATCACTTTTGTGCAACTGGAGATGAGAATAATCCACAGGCAGCTCCTTCTCCTGCAGCTCATTCAGCACTTCCTTTCTGCTGATTATTCTGTATATGGTCAGGGAGGTGTGTGACTTCAGCTTTCTGTGTATATATGTCACTGTTGTTCCTCAGGATGCTGAATAAAGGAGTTCCCATCACATATCGAGCTAGATGAAGAAATAAAGACTTTTCTGACATATATGACCTGGCCTAGTTTGAAAGATGCCTCAAAACCTATCTTACATCCCCACTGGCTGCTCACTGCTGGTTCTGTACCACCAAAGCCATAGCATGAATGCAGCTGAGCCCCTCTGAGGTCAGGATGATTTTATGATGTGCCACTTGATACATTCTATCTGGCCCTTTTCTAAGTTTAATAAAGGTGTTTTCATAAGACATCTGTTGGATTTCACAAATGGATAAGTAAGGCATCAAACAATTACACTTTAAAGTAATTTTAGCAGCGTAAGACCTTGAGGATGCTCGTGATTTCATGGATTTTTATGCATGCAAAGCAACACTCTTGTTAACCTCATTTGCACCTGTGAGTGTTCAGCCATGTGGAAGTTGGAAGCCCAGGCTCTTAAGTCAGAATCTAGAGTCCAGGGAATGTGCTGTAGCACCTGTGAAAAGGTCAGATAGAATGACTTACTGAGCCCCACACAAACCTGTAGCACAAGCAGAGAGACTGTCAGTCACTAACGTGATGTGTTAAGTCCACCTGTGTTCTCTCTTCTCGTGTTCTCTTACTGCAACAGCCTTGGAGCTGCTGTGTCATGGCACTGAGGTTGTGCAGGGAAAGGTGTCACCGGGTGCTGCAGGTTCAGCCCTGGCACAATTCCATCACGTGCCTTCAGGAAGTGGTGACCACAGAAAATACCATGTGTGATTGTACTGCTCTATCTCATAGTATACTTAGTGTGAAGGCAGAATGCTTAGCCATTTCTATTTTTATGCAAACATAATGTATAAGCAGATACAGGTAGGTATATATTTGAAAATATCTCTATCTCCTTGGAGATATAAACAATCTTAAATTTCACATGTAATCCTTGGATTTGCAGGATCTGTTGTGCAACAGTTGTCTGGGTTACCATGAGGCTCTTTTGTAGCTTACAGTCATTTTTATAGCTGTTTGATTGCTGGAGCCCTGCTGATACACTTTTCTTACAAGCTCCTTGAATTTATATGTTTATGATCTCACAGCACAGTAAGATTGGGACACTACTTAGGTGTCTGGGGTTTAGTATTTGCACATGTGTCAGCAGTAGTTTATGTGGATATTAGGCAAAGGTTCTTCACCCAGATGGTGGCTGGGCACTAGAACAAGCTCTCCAGGGAAGCAGTCACAGCACCAAGCCTACTGAATTTCCAGAATCATTTTGGACAATACTCTCAGGCTCATAGTGGAATTCTTGGGGTCCTGTGTAGGGCCAGGAGCTGGACTTCAATGATCCTTGTGGGTCTGGCTCAGGATATTCTATGATTCTGTGGTAAGTATTGTGCACATTTCAGTACCCCATGCAGTGGGTGGAACAACCTGTGTTTAAGGAGACCATATTTGTCAGTTCTTTATCTTACAGGTAAGTAAAAGAAACTGAATCTTGTCTCTCAGATAGACTTACACATGCTTTACTCCATGATTCTGGCTAAACACACCATGGAAATCAGTTCTGACATTCACTAAGAAGTTCCTCCACTTGCCTGAAAATACAGCACCTTGTAATTTAAGTTGTCTCTGTACAGCATATGCCTGGCCCCCAGGAGCAGGAGAGGAGCTGGCTCCTGCGAGCGGGGCTGCAGGAATGGGTGGCACGTTTCTCTAAATTCTGCAAGAAGCTTCTGAAAATATCCTGTGTGCATGCATTCATATCATAACATTACACCACATATATAGGGTCTGCTCCCAAACCCACAGCCAACTAGCATAACAAA